GTCATAAGTAGGTTAATTAACACATGATTGATTCATCAGTAGTAAATTACGCTCATTGTGATGTCATCAGTAAGATAATTTACACATATAAGTGTCGTCCAGTAAGGTATAATTATGTATATGTGTGGATGTCATAAGTAGGTACTAACAACCATCGATGATGGTCATCAGTGACGGTAAAGCACTATGACTCGATGTCATAAAGTAGGTAATTAACACCATGATGATGTCATTAGTAGGTAAGTAACACATGATGATGTCATAAGTAGGTAATTTAGACATATCTGATGATGTCATCAGGTACGGTAATTACCATTATGGTGATGTCATTCCAGTTAGGTAATTACCATATGATGACGTCATCAGTAGGTAATTACATATGGTGATGTCATCAGTAGATAATTACACATGATAATGTCGTCAGTATAGGTAATTATCATATGGTGATGTCATAAGTAGTAGCTAACACATGATGATGTCATCAGTAGGTAATTAGCATATGATGATGTCATAAGTAGGTAATTAACACATGATGATGTCATCAGTAGGTAATTACCATATGGTGATGTCATCAGTAGATAATTACACATGATGATGTCATCAGTAAGGTAATTATCATATGAAGATGTCATAAGTAGGTAGCTAACACATGATGATGTCATCAGTAGGTAATTATCATATGATGATGTCATAAGTAGGTATAATTATCATATGATGATGTCATCAGTATGTAATTATAACATGATGATGCCATCAGTATGTAATTATAATCAGTAGGTGATTACCACGTGATATTCTCATCAGTAAGTAGGTTTCACATGACCTTCAACCATTTCAATACCGGTCACATACGCGCGCGCGTGACATGATTAACACATCAGTGTAAGTCTTTTGCCGGGGTTCATATTACCCACAATGCAACGCCGCCGGCCATTAGGGTTCCAAAAACAGTTCAGCGCATGTGTACAAGTACATTGAGCACAACGCACCTCTGCTTATTTTATTCGCCTATTAAGCAAATCCATTACAACGCCGCTCTCCTGCGGTGTTGTCAACTGCAGCAATCGGTATCAGAAGAGAGCCACACAGGCTTTTTTAGGCTGCCTAGCGTGATCACAACGACAAGGTAAAGTGACGAGACCAGCGACGGACCACAGACGTGTTGGAGCCATTTTCAATAAAAAGCAATGCTGAATAAAACACGTAACGTATTACTACAATATGTTCTCTACTCCTTGTATTTGCCGATAATTACCTGTAAATGCCGGTTAAATGCTTCTCTGCAACACACAGGTACACTGCACGCCGCTTCACATTTAACACTTATATACATATATCCGACGGCATCCAGTAGGCAGCTGTTTGAGTGGGTGGTGATTTCTTTTGCACGTTGCAGCATACTCTACATAAAATAGACACCGAGGCCAACATGTGAACAGAATTCACCAAGCCCGGCTTTACAATTACAGTGTGCTGACAATGATGCCTGTCCCATATTCTCTCATCATGACCCATGCCACGGATAGAGAGATGTATAATTAGAGACTGGGAGTGCATAAAACGTGCTCAGATAACGTAAGATGGGACTCTCACTGTTCACATGATAGATGTAGACTGATACACCACTAACCCAACCGCAACAGTCGATCGTAGGCACCAGGCTTTTGTATTCTGAAAGGGAACACGTTGTGGTCCTCACTCCATTCGGCATTGTCTATTTGGTACGGTCTCGATTCCACATCTGCACGCAATTTTCTCCGAGATAGCGTGCTTTGGCCTACGTTGTCTAGTGAATCAAAGTACTTATCCATACTACGTACACTACAGACAGTCGACAAACGTGCATACACTAGCTATTAAAAAAGCTGCGTTTGATAGACTAGAGTAATGCAGTAACATCGGTGAAATTTCTGAACTCGTCACGATGTAAAACAAACTCAAGTCTATGAACATATGTCACATGTGTTGCGCTGCAATCTTCCGATCTGCTCAATCTACGAATCTGCCGACCGTGTGCAATCAGCACCTAAAACTCGCCAACTAAAACCCACGTGGTAAACCTGCTTGCAAAACCGCCTGCGCAATCTCAATCGAACTAGCAATTAACACAACCCCAGCTGATAAACCTGTCTGCAAAATCGGGATCCACCTACTGCTAATATCTATTGCAATATTAACACTATAGCCAATGTAAAATCGTTGATTGTGCAGAATCGGCAGATTACACGCAACACCTGTTCGCTCTTTTTGGAACCGAGATGGCCGACGGACAGGCATGTAGGTAAATATGCTTAATTTACGTGCAAATTCGCGAAACCCTCTATATTGTGGGTGAGGGATGAGGCTGTTCGCTCCTCGGTCGGCGATCAGTGCGTGTCTATAGTTCGCCACTCTAGTGGACGTGTAACGTGAGCGCGCGCTTCGCGCTGCGCCGTGAGCATCGTATACCCACCGCGAGTGCTCTGTTAATACTGCAGCGCCGCGCCGCGCGCGCCCTCCCACGTCTTCTCTCCTTTTAATACCATAATGGTTTTGTCACGACCTAGCGGCGCGTCGGTCGCTGTATTCGGCGAGGAGGCCGCAGTAGAGGCTGTTGTATTGTGCTGCCGAGCTCCTGATCTGATACGCGCCAGCAGCCCGCACACGGTGGCTGCGCTGACGCTAATGCGACGCTCTCTTGACTGCCTGCCTGCTCTCGCTACACCTCATTGAGTGCGTAATGTATGCGCTGGACGTGATTATAATGTGGATCGCGCTCTAGTTGCCGTCTCTCTGTTTAACCGTATGTGATCAGCTTATCAGTAATGTTCTTATGCATGTAGTCAGCCTGTTAGTAATGTTTTAATACGTTGTCAGCTATCAGTAATGTTTTATTACGTGGTAATTTTTTAGTAATGTTGTCTATCACGTGCCTCAGCTCATGATAATGCTTTTTTACGTCGTGTCAGCTTATCAGCTAATGTTTTATTTACGTGAATTTTATTACGTAAGTGGTATCACGTGCTCAGCTTGATCAGCTAATGTTTATTACGCTTGGTCTAGCCTTATCAGAAATGTTTTATTACGTGTAATGATTATGTATATGTTTATCACGTTGCTCAGCTTATCAGTAATTGTTATCACGTGGTCAGTTTATCAGTAAGTGTATATCATGTGGTTCAGCTTATTGAGTAAGTGTTATCACGTGGCTCAGCTTATCAGTAATGTTTTATTACGTTGTCAGCTTATCAGTAATGTATTTATCGTGGTAATTTATTAGTAATGGTTAATCACGTGCTCAGCTTATACAGTAAATGTTTTATTACGTGTGGGTCAGTTTATCAGCTAATGTTTTATTACGTGCGTAATTTTCATTAGTCAATGTGTTTCACGTGCTCACGCTTATGTAGTAATGTTTTATTACGTGGTCAGACTTATCAGTAATGTGTTATCAACGTGTCAGCTTTATCAGAATTTTTTATCACTCGTCAGCTTTCAGTAATGGTGTTATCACGTGATCAGCTCATCAGTATGTTTTATCACTGGTTGCGATAGCTTATCCAGTAATGTTTTATTACGTGGTATAATTTATTAGTAATGTGTTATCACCGTGCTCAGCTTATGAGTAAGTTTTATTACGTGGTCAGCTTATCAGTAATGTGTTATCACGTGCTCAGCTTATGATAATGGTTATACGTGCTCAGCTTATGATACAATGTTTTTATTACGTTGGTCAGCTTATCAGTAATGTTTTATTACTTGGGTCAGCTTATCAGTAAGTGTTATCACGTGGTCGTTAAGTTTATCAGTAATGTGTTGAACACGATACATTTAAAATTATTAGGAATAATGTCTACTGGCATATTTTATTACTTATTCGGGCCTTAACATTAGCTGGCGAATGGACAATAAATAACGCGGATTCATGCTTGCCGGCAATGGTAGTTAATTATTATATTGTGCGGAACTGGCTTTGGATGTGCGATAAATCGCACGCAGCGCTATTTTTTTAGCGCCGTGTGTGCATGTCAGACACATCTTATACTAATCAGTTTAGCGTCCATAGGCATCCTTCTTCAATTTCCTAAACATGGCGACCTTATCCTACCTGTGCTCGACTATCTGCCTAAAGTGGAACGAACATCGAAAAAAACACCACTACAGGTCGAGTCTTGACAGGACAATTGCCTCAAAGGCTTTTATAGAATATAGGGGAGTCGCCAAAGGTAAAATGTATGTAAATTTCCAGTCATTGTCGAGCACGTAGCGAAAGGTCGCCATGTTTGGAAATTTGTGTGAACAGATGCCACTCTATTTAGTATAGATTGGTCTGATATGCCACACCGCTAAAAAAAATAGCGCTGGCGTGCGGATTATCGCACAATCCTCAAAGCTCGCATGTGTCCACATCGCTAAAGTAATAATAATTAACTACACCATTGCCTGGTCAGCTTATCAGTAATGTTTTATTACGTGGTAATTTTATTAGTAATGTGTTATCACGTGCTCAGCTTATCAGTAATGTTTTATTACGTGGTCAGCTTATCAGTAATGTTTTATTACGTGGTAATTTTATTAGTAATGTGTTATCACGTGCTCAGCTTATGAGTAATGTTTTATTACGTGGTCAGCTTATCAGTAATGTGTTATCACGTGGTCAGCTTATCAG